TTTGTGCCACCATTTTATCTTAAACATCCTTGCTCCTTCCTTCCTTCCTTCCTTCCTTCCTTCCTTCCTTCCATGTAATAAGAAGTGAGCCCAGAGGTGCTCTACCATTGAGTAACATACCCAGCCTTTTAATGTTTTTATTTTGAGAGGATCTTATTTAGTTGCTGAGGCTGGCCTTGAACTTGTGATCCTCCTGCTTCAGTCTCCCATGCCACTGGGATTGCAGGCACGCATGACTATGCCTGGCTCAGTTGTTTATAAATCACACAGCTTATGACATTTTGTTATAGGGTCTAAATGGACTAAGGCAGTCTGACCACCACCCCTAAGGCTCCACTGCAGCTTTCCTCTCAAGTTCACCAGTGATTTCCTTATGAGTAAACCCATTGTGTATTCTTCAGTCCTTCCTTTCTTGTTTTTCTGCAGCATTTGACCTTGTGAGTTGCTTCATTATTGCCAATACCTTCTGTTCCTCTGCTGTTCCTCCTGTGATTCAAGTTATTCCTCTTTAGGCTCATTTGAGAATTTTCCTTCTGTTCATCATTAAAACGTTGAGTGTTCTTCAGGGTTCAGTCTGACTACCTTCTCTCAGCACTCACCGACTCTCTTGGAGCTGTCTCTTCTATTCCCATGACCTCTGCTGCCACCTTTTGCTGACAACTGCCAAATTCAAATCACCAAAGCAGCTCTCCTTTCTGAATGCAGTATGAGCACACAAAACACGTGAGTGTCCATACACACGACTGCTATGCCTAGGCCATGCCACTTCTATAGTAAGTGCTATTGTATTCTTGTTTTCCTTGTCCTGTCCCCAGCCACTAGGCTATGTGTTCTTTGAAATCAGGAATTCTGATGTATTCACAGTGGCATCCTCAGTAACTATAACAGTGCAGGGTGATACACCCAGTGAGTTAGGTAATTACCAGGAGACAAAGCAAAAATACAGATATATGGAACTAACAGATACCAGAAACATTCACTTATAACTATGATTATGGGTTTGTTTTTGTTTGGGGAATTTTTTGTGGTACTGGGATCAAGCCCATGGCATAGCACAATCTAGGCAAGTACGCTGCCACTGAATTATATCCTCAGCACTGAAAGTTGTTTTGTTTGGTTTTACTTTTTCTTTTTTTTTGGTCCTGGGGATTTAACCCAGCATGCTTCACGTAAGCTACATCCACAGACCCTTTTTTATTTTTTATTTTTTTAAGAGAGAGTGGGAGAGAGAATGAGAGAGAGAGAGAGAGAGAGAGAGAGAGAGAGAGAGAGAGAGAGAGAGAGAGAGAGAGAGAGAGAGAGAGAGGGAGGTAATTTTTTAATATTTTATTTTTTAGTTTTCAGTGGACACAACATCTTTTGTTTGTATGTGGTGCTGAGGATGGAACCCGGGCCGCACACATGCCAGGCGAGCGTGCTACTGCTTGAGCCATATCCCTAGCCCTTATTTTTTATTTTGAGCCAAGATCTCCACTGTTGAGGCTGGTCTCCAAGTTGCAATCCTCCTGCATCAACCTCCCCAGTCACTAGGATTACAGGTGTGTGCCACCATACCCAGCTCAGCCTTAGCAATTTAACAGAGACCCTCAGCAATTTAGAAATAATAGCCTGTTTCAAAATAAAAAATGAAAAGGACTAGGGATTTGGGAATATAAAACTTCTAAAAGAACTTATGGGGCTGGGTTTGTGGCTCAGTGTAGAGGCTTGCCTGGCACATGTGAGGTACCACATACAAATAAATAAATAAAATAAAGTTGTCCATCTACAACTAAAAAAAACAACGACCTCATAGGCTCAGCATAATGGCCCATGCCTGTAAGCCTAGAGACATGGGAGAGGCTGGAGCAGGAAGGTCACAAATTCAAGGCTAGCCTCAGCAATTTAGGGAGACCCTGTTTCAAAGTAAGAAGGGTTAGGCTGGCTGTGGTGGTGCACACCTGTAATTCCAGCAGCTTGGGAGGCTGAGGCAGGATGATCAAAGGTTCAAAGCCAACCTCAGCAATTTAGCAGAGGCTGTGAGCAATGTACTGAGATCCTGTCTCAAAGAATTGAGGATGTAGTTCAGTGGTAGAGTGTCCCTGGGCTCAAACCCCAATGCCTCCCTTCTCAAAAATAAAGCACTCAGAGATTTTGGGGTATAGTCACTATTAATTTTATTTTCTTGCAGTGCTGGGAATTGAACTCAGCCTCACACATACTAGGTAATGTTCTACTGTGATGGCAAAGCCAGACCTGGTTGTAAAATGAAATTATAAGAATCCAATGTCTGAGCTAGGCGCGATGGAGCACACCTACAATCCCAGCAGCTCAGGAGGCTCTTGGGGTCAAAGCCAGACTCAGCAACAGTGAGGTGCTAAGCAACCCAGTGAGACCCTATCACTAAATAAAATACGAAATAGGGCTGGAGATGTGTCTCAGTGGTTGAGAGTCCCAGAGTTCAATCCCCAGTACCAAAAAGAAAGAAAGAAGACAAAAAAACAAAAACAAAACCCCAATGCTAGAAAAAAGGGTCAATTCCCCTCCACTTTCTCTGCCTTTCTTCAGGAAGCCTAATTATAACCAAGAGTCTCTACCTTTTGGATTGTAAATAACAGCCCTAGGAGTCTGACTACTCCCTCTTGAAATGTAAACACCCTGTGCCAGGCTTTCTTTTCTTTTCTTTCTCTCTCTCTCTCTTTTTTTTTTTTGTGTGTGTGTGTTGCTGGGGATTGAACCCAGGGCTTGTGTGTTCAAGGGAAGCACTCTACCAACTGAACCATATCCCCAGCGCGCGCGCGCGCGCTCGGGCTCTCTCTCTCTCTCTCTCTCTCTCATATTTATTTTTTAATTATAGTTTATTTTTATGTGGTGCTGAGGATGGAATCCTTCCTTCCTTCCTTCCTGTACTGGGGATCTCAACCACTGAGCCACATCCTGAGTCCTATTTTCCTATTTTGTATTTTATTTAGAGACAGGGTCTCACTGAGTTGCTTAGCGCCTCGCCTTTGCTGAAGCTAGCTTTGAACTTGTGATTCTCCAGTCTCAGTCTCCCAAGCCTCTGGGATCACAGGCATGGGCCACCGCACACAGCCTGTGCCTGGCTTTCAAGGCTAGAATATTAAGTCTATGAAAAGAGCCGTTTCTTCTTATCTGTTACTGTAAATTTTATGTTAGGGACCCTGCACAAGGCCTTCAGCCAAGTAGAATTAGGAATTTTTTTAAAAGAGGAAAAAAGCCTCAATGATAAAATGGCTCTAAGAGAACACCAAATAACCTATAAATGTTGTGAGAAACTGTGGATCAGGGCTCAGAATTTGGAGTTTGCTTACTCTGGGCCCACAGGCATAAAATAAAGTTGGGATTTCTTCTCCTCCTCCCCGAGTGCTGCTTGCTGCTTTCCCGAAATGCTAACATTGGGCTCTATCCTCAACCCTTTTAATTTTTTTTTTTTTTATTCCAAGACAGGATATTCTTGTGTCTTGCTAAATTGTTCAGGATAGCCATGAATTTGGGATCCTCCTGCCTCAGTCTTCCGAGTGACTGGTTATTACAGGCATGAGCCATCCTGTCTGGCAACACTACCAGTTTGTAAATTTTTTTTTTTTTTTTAAGAGGCTACTACCTCTTCCCATGTCACTCAAATTGTGTTAAAGGATAAAGGATCTAATTTCAGAGCCATGCATGTCAGCTTCAGATGGAGTATCATGCTGAATCTGAGAATTAAATTTAAATTGGAGGAACAATAAAAATGTAAGCTCAAGCAGCGTTCCAATTTGCCATAGGGGTCAATTGAAGTGTTTGTCAGTTTATATTCAGCACCACCTGGTGTGCAGTGTGTACTGTGTGAATTACTGTATCATAATAAACAGACATTGGTTCTTCCTAAATGGTAGCAAGAAAAATGCTTGCTGTGCAGACTTTGGCAGCCCCAAGAGATGACTCCATGCCTAAATTTGTCCCTTCCTATTTCATCTCCTTTGTTCAGGTCTTCCTTTCTGCCTCCTGGGGGCTATTTCCTTAATCCCTTTACCCCATCTGCAAAATTCCATCCTGTGCCACATTGGAGGTTCTCTCCAAGGCACCTGGGTTCAGCAAAAGTAATATTTTCTTTTTCTCTGCCTGGGCAGTAAAACGGTGCCAACTGAGGGAGGCTCTGAGCCTCATTAGATAAATTAGATAAGGAGTCCTGCAAATTGCTGTTTATAAACACAGCATAGACTACCCGGAGTGCCTGTAACCCGGACCAGGATGACTCCAAAACCTCTTTAGTGTTTTTTATTTTTTTTTCTTCTTCTTTTTTCCTTTATGGCTTTCATGAAAAGTAATTATTTATAATTTATAAACAATAAGAAATTACAGCTTATAAACTGTAAGTACAATATTAATATTCCCCACCCGCCCCCAGAGCCAAGTTAGGAGAAATTCTACCTAAAATGACCGGTAAAACAACCACAACATGGAAATAAATATTCTAACTGCATGGTCCCAAGCACTGTTAAAAATAAGAAATAACTGTGTAATCTATCTCTGCAATAATGGGCATATTCTAGTGGGATCATTTTCAGCCCATTTCCCCATCCTGCTGGGCAAGAATTGGCTCAGATAAGGAAAAAGAGCTAACCAAACTGGAAAAGAAAAACAACCCACCCATTATTTTTGATGCCTGGTAAACAGCTTGCAGCAGAGGATAAGGCTTTTCTGGCTCTGAAATATGCTTTTTTCTCCTTTCATGTGTCTGTCCTCCTCCCTCGAAGCTGCGGGGTAGAAGGTCTAAAAATAGCCAGTGAATCACCGCGGATAATATTGTGCAGCAGTTACATAAACAGCCAGCCCGGGCGGCGAGGCCCTGGGTCGGAACGAAAAATATCTGGGTCAGGGTTGTCACACTGAATAGGATCCCCCGGAGCCGGCCTTCGGAGGCGCGGCGGGGGGAGGAGGCCTGGGCCTGCTGGCCGGGAGCACCTGGGGAGCCGCGGGCGGCGGGCGGGAGGGAGCGCGGGCCCGGGCCGGGCGCGGGCGGCGGCGCGAGCAGGGCGGCCGAGCCCAGCGCTCCCTCCCCATGGCCGGGAGCGGGCCGCGTAGGCGGCGACGGCGCTGAGAGGCCAGGGCGGGGCGGCCGGGGGCCTGCGGCCGAGTGGAAGATGAGCGCCCTCCTAGAGCAGAAGGAGCAGCAGGAGAGGCTGCGGGAGGCCGCGGCCTTGGGGGACATTCGGGAGGTGCAGAAACTGGTGGAGAGCGGGGTTGATGTGAATTCCCAAAATGAGGTCAACGGCTGGTAAGTGAGTAGCGGGGGCGGCCTAAGGTCAGGGCAGCCGGCCTCGGGCGTGGGACAGTCGTCGGCGACCTGGGCCCAGTCCTGTCCCCGACACCGGGCTAAGGTGAGGCCTGGTGCCTCGGGCTTCCCAGGTTGTGCCCTCTGGAGGCCAACTTCGTCCCCCCTACTTCCGTGCAGTCTGGAGTGCGACGTGCTCAAATGCCGGCCTACGTGGTCCACCCTGAGAGCCCCGCGCTCGCGGGCTGATTTGCCCGGAATGTTGCTGGAGGCAGTGATTCTCAGCGATTCTGTGCAGGAACTCACCCCAATTGAATTATTTTGCCTGAGGTGCCTCTGAAGAACATCTGTGCAGAGCTAAAAGCATAAACAACAAATACGAATCTTACTAACATGATTTCTTTAGTCCAGGATAAAAACAAACAAAAACCCACCGCTTGCATCACTATTCTGCCTCTGTTGTCTCACGCTTACAGTGATCTGCAGCTGCCTACAGCTGCCTACAGCTGCCCGCCCGGGGAAGAAGACTCATTTGTGTATCCTAGAGAGTGTTTTGCTTTATTTTCTTATTACAATTTCCCATAGAGAACTGCACGTGAGGCTTTAGATTTATGCCTGTAGAATGGGTCCTTTCCAACTAAAGGAGTCTCATTTGAAGATGTTGCTGATAGCCAAATCTTTAGGTTCAAGGTACTGAATGTGGTACTTCTGCCCTCTTTGTTTTTGATTCATGTAATGTTTAACCAGCCTATTTAGCTGGTTTAAAGTGAGTTTGCAGATGTTTGTTTTTATTTGATAGAGGGGAATCAATGGAAACAGTTTCAACCCCAGAGAGTCACACAACTGTTAATGATAGTACCACAACTGAGGTTTCCTCACTTCCTTTTTGTTTTGTTTTGGTTTGGGGCTTTAACCTAGGGGGACTTTACCACTGAGTTACATCTCAAGCCTTCTTTTTTAAATACTGAGACACATTTTCATAAATTGCCCACGCTGGCCTGGAACTTGCCAGGCTAACTGCATTAGCCTCCTGAGTCGCTGAGATTATAAGACTGCACCCTGCAGTTTCATCACTTCTTGCAAAAATCTGTGTACCTTCTTTTCTGAAAGAAAACAGCTTGGATAGCTGACAGGATAGCCAATAAACCGTGGATACTGCCTTCTTGTTTTGTTTAAAATTGTTTGCAAAGAAATTTGCTGTGGTTTGTGTAGCTTTTCTGAGCTTTGCTCTGTGATTCAAAGCTGGGCCTTTATGGCACTGGGAGGAAGTGTTATGTGGAAGAATGAGCCTGGTCTTCACTGAAGGTTCTTTTTCATTCTTACCTAAGTATGTGACCTTGATAAGTCACTTCATTTTCCAATTATTTCAGAAGAATGTTATGAGAGAAGCATAATATAAATAACATTTATTGAACTTGCTCTGTGGCACAGATGTGGTTCTGAGCACTTTACATATATCACCTTATTGACAACTACCCGGGGACATAGTTATTATTTTCTCCATTTTACAGATGAAGAAACTGAGGCCCAGAAAGACTAAATAATGCCCCTAAATTTACAAAATGCCCCTAAATTTAGAATTTAGTAATGCTGTGTTATTGTTCAGAGAATGAGTATCTAGTAGAGCTGGAAAATGAACCTGGCTTCTAACTCCAGACCTTCCCCTCCTCAGCACAATGCCCACATGATTGGTGTTCAGGAAATGTAAGGTGAACCTGAAGTAACTTTTTTTTTTTTTGGTGCTGGGGATTGAACCCAGGGCCTTGGGCTTGAGAGACAAGCACTCTTCCAACCTGAAGTAACTTGAAGAGGCTTCTCCTAGACGGAGTTCAAACTCAGCATGGCTAAGACTGAATTCCTAGTCCCCCCATGGCCCGTGCTGTTCTCTGCTTCCTTATGTCAGCCTCTCAGGTGTCTGGGTCAGAATGCTTGATGCCCTCCTTGCCTCTTATCTTTCCCACATGTCCCACACATAGTCAGCCAGTTCTGCCAGCTCCACCTTCAGAGGTAGTCAGAATTTGACCACTTCTCACTACCTCTACCACTATAACTCTGTTCAAAGCCACCATCATTTATCTCACTGAATTATAGCAGTAGCCTCCTAACTAGGCTCCTTGCTTATTTCTGCAGTCTTCTCAACACAGGGTTCAAAGGGATCTTTATTTAAAACTAGTTAGAGCATTCATTTCACTCTTCTCAAAACCTTCCAATTGTTCCCTTCTTACTCTGAGTAGAAGCAAATAGGTCCTAAAAATTTTTATTCCCTGTCCCCCTTTTACCTTATCTTTTGAGACGTGTCTCCTTGCTCACATTGTTTTCTGTTCTCCTTGCCTCTTTGCTTTTCTGGAATATCAGGCACAGTCCTGAATCAAAAGACCTTTGCGTTTTGGCTGGGCACGGGGTGGCACATGCCTGTAATCCCAGTGCTTTGGGAGAACTAAAGTAGGAGGATCACAAGTTTGAGGCTAGCCTCAACAATATAGTGAAGCCCTAAGGAACTTAGCGAGACCCTATCTCAAAATAAAAAATAAAAAGTGCTGGGGATATGAATCAGTGTGGTTATGTGCTCCATGTTCAATCCCAGGTACCAAAAAGAAAAAAAAAACTGCATTTTGTCTTCCTTCTTCCTAAAATTCTTCTCCTGCAGATAGCACCTTTGCTAAGTTGATGAAAGCTGTACTTGAATTTTGCTTTTTTGTTCTTCAAAGCTTAGGGCTGGGATTGTGGCTCTGAGGAATAGCACTCATCTACCATGCATGAGGCACTGGGTTCGATCCTCAGCACCACATAAAAATTAAATAAAGATATTGTGTCCACCTATAATTAAAAAATGAATTTAAGGGCTGGGGATGTGGCTCAAGTGGTAGCGCGCTCACCTGGCGTGCGTGCGGCCCAGGTTCGATCCTCAGCACCACATACCAACAAAGATGTTGTGTCCACCAAGAACTAAAAAATAAATATTAAAAATTCTCTCTCTTTCTCTCTCTCTCTCTCTGTCTGTCTGTCTCTCTCTCCTCTCTCACTCTCTCTTAAAAAAAAAAAATGAATTTAAAAAAAATTTTAGCTTAGATGTCAGCTTGGATGTTGCCTTCATGGTGAGGCCTCTTTTTGGCCCTCAACTTAAAATTGCACAAAGTCCCTCTCTAACCTGTCATTCCTTAATCCCTTACCCTGCTTTATTGTCCCTATAACACTTGATCACCACCTAGTGTGCTTCATGCTCTGCTTATTTATTTGCTGACTGCCTTAGTTTCCTGTAAAATTGGGGGAATGTTAATAATAGTATTTACCTTGTGGAATTTTTTTTTTTTTTGACCAGGGATTGTACCTAGGGGTGTTTAACCTCTGAACTACATCCCCAGCTCTTTTTATTATTATTTTTTTAGAGATGGGATGTCACTAAGTTGCTTAGGACCTCATTAAGTTGCTGAGGCTGACTTCCAACATGTGATCCTCCTGCCTCAGGAGTTGCTGGGATTGCAGGTGTGAGCCACTGCACCTGGCACCTCATGGGACTTTAAATATTTTTAAATTTATTATTAATTTTGTACTGAGGGTTGAATTCAGAGGTACTTTACCTGTGAGCCATATCCCTGTTACTTTTTTATATTTTATTAGAGACAGGGCTTTGCTAAGTTGATGAAAGCTGTCCTTGAACTTGCAATCTTCCTGCCTCTGCCTCCGAGTCACTGGGAGGACTATAAGTGCCACTGGCCCAACTTTTCTTTTTCTTTCTCTCTCTCTCTCTCTCTCTCTCTCTCTTTTTTTTTTTTTTTTTTTGAGACAGGGTCTTGTTATATTATCTAGGCTGGCTTCAAACTCCTCAAGTTATCTTCCCACCTCAGCTTCCCAAGTACCTGGAACTGTAGGCATGTTGCCATGCCATGTACCTAGGTCCTCATGGAATACTTTGAAGATTAAATGAATTAACATATATAGAGCATTTAGTTTTAATTTTATTTTGGGGTGGGGTACTGGGAATTGAACTCAGGTGCACTCAACCACTGAGCTACATCCCCAGCCCTATTTTGATTTTATTTAGAACAGAGTCTCACTGAGTTGCTTAGCACCTCACTTTTGCTGAGGCTGGCTTGTAACTCATGATCCTCCTGCCTAAGCCTCCTGAGCCACTGGGATTATAGGTGTGTGCCACAATGCCCGTGGAGCTTTTAGAATAATGTCCAGCAAGTAAAGCATTATATCTGTGTTAACTATTGTTATTATTTTATTAGTAAGCAAGATGGTGGATAATAACATAAAATTATCCTTAAAAGACTTGCTACTAGCCATGCCTGGAAATCCCAGCAACTCAGGAGGCTGAGGCAGGAGGATTACAAGTTTGGGGCCAGCCTCAGCAACTTAGCCAGACCCTGTCTCAAAAAATAAAAAGGGTTAGGGATAATATAGCTCAGTGATAAAGCATCCCTGAGTTTGATCACCAGTACCACAAAAAAAAAACAAACAAAAGAACCAGACTTACTCCTAGCATGGAAAAGCAGAATTATGACTGCTTTGAGTTCTTGGTTGCTCAGTAACCATAATTTCAGCAGTGATGAATAATGCCCAGTTGTTGAATGATGCCCAGTGCCACTAGTCTGAAATACTTCCCATCACTAATAGGATTTCTGACTACAAATGTGAAGTTTAAAGAGTTGAAGTTCAAAGATAGAGTTTCCACATCAAATGTAATTCAAGTGTCATGCATACTCCTAGACTTTGAGGAAAAAATATACAGGTTCATGAGGAGGTTGAAAATATTGCCTGGCTGCAGTGGTTGTGAGTTGTGACTGTCCAGAGCCACACAGCTCTGGACTCATAAATGATGATCACTAAAAATGATGGTCACTAAGGGTGCAGGGCCCTGGGGGACATACTGTGTTGACATAACCCCACTTTATATGGTGATGCTCTAGCTAGTTGGTATCTTTGAGTTTCTCAGACCCACTCTCAGTAAATTACCTCCTTCACACTCCAGCTTGCCATGAACGAGTGATTTACTATTAGCAAGCAAGCACTTTATTTCCAGAAGGGAGCACATTTTTTCTAATCATGCTCTATTCATTTTTGAATGCTCACTTATTATAATTCACTTTTCAAGCCCTGTGCCACAGACATCCACACACAGACACAAACTCAGGCTGCATTTTGCCTAGGATCTGCAGTTAGCCTACTCTAAGCAGTGTCTACCATATCCTTGGTTTACTTAATAAGAATTAAGCCCAGTATATGCCCACCAGATACTTTGTTATCTTCATGGAGTTTACTTATGATTTAGAACTCTAGATGAAGACTGTTCCCCTGGAAACGTAATTCAGTGGTAGAAGGCTTGCCTAGCTCTGGGTTTAGTCCCCAGTACTGCAAAAAGGAAAAAAAAAGGTCTCTTATTTACCCCAAATTTACAGTCATTTTGTCATCGAGAACAACATAAAGGCACCTGGATAATCTAGTTTTTTCTTTTTTTATGTGGGTAGGGGGGCGGGTACTGGGACTTGAACCCAGGGGTGCTTTACCACTAAACTACATTCCCAAACCTTTTTAATTTTTATTTTAAGACAGGGTCTCACTAAGTTGCTTAGGATCTTGCTAAGTTGATGTAACTGACCTCGAATGTGTGACTGGATAATCTAATTCTAATGAATAATAGTATACAATGTCACTCTGAAACATTAATTGATTTGCTCCCACCTAGCCAAGCTAGCTTTCTGTAAGTTGTTAAGGTACCCATGGCAAATCAGCTTTTTCCTGGAACCAAATAAACTTTCCCGATAATTATGCTTCCCAGGATAGCGACCTAATCCTCACTATTGAACATATGTTCTGTTCTTCATCTTAACTGTTTTTGGCTATAAGCTCTGAAGATATTTATCTTAATTCATTATGCAATTGGTGAATGAAGCCATTTTAAAACAGAAGGGAAAAAATATTTTCTTTCTGCAAAATGCATTCAGCTTTGGCACTCGGGATGAATTTAGTAACTCCAAATTCTTTAAACTTCTGTTAACATGGAGTTTTTGCCAATGTGTTAATTAAATTACTGTAGAGTATTAAAATAATAGCCCTTTATTAGAGAATGCAGAATCACCTTCTATGTGCCCAATATTAAATAATTAAATGAATCTGCTATGTTAGAAGAATCTGTTCTTGAAAAATTTTGGTCATAGATGTACATGTTTTAAATGCCTTGGGAGTTAAAGTTTGTATGTAGTGCCTTTTATTTAAGCAGATGAGGGTATGTTTATAACTTTCTGTAAAGATTGGAGAAGCGAACTTTTTTTTTTTTTTTTTTTTTGGTAACAGGAATTGAACCCAGAGGTGTTTAACCACTGAACCATATCCCAGCCCATTTTATTTTTTATTTTGAGATAGCATCTTGTTAAGTCACTTAGGGTTTTGCTAAGTTGCTGAGGCTGGCTTTGAACTTGGTGATCCTCCTGCCTCAACCTCCTGACCCACTAGGATTATAGGCATGTGCCATGGCCACTTTTAAAAAATGTAAATTTGTAAATCCTTTTAGTGAAGGTATGAAGAAAATATAAGTAAAGAGAAGGCAGTAAGTAACTGAGACAGGCCTGTCTACTGTAGTAATAATTGTAGTGACAGAGCAAGCTGCAGGTAGGAGTTGGTTATGAGCCTGATAATAGTTAATCTTCAGGTAACATGATGCATATGAAGTGAATCTTCCTGAAAAGGAATGAGGCAATATAGAAAAATGTTTTAAAGAGACTAAGAGGATCACATGATTATAACAATAATGATAGAAAATCACCTTGAAGTATCATTGGAGTTAACCAGCTGGCCAGCCAACCAACCTGCCTTCTGGAAACCATTGAAATGAAAACTCTACGATAAATACATTTTTCCCAGGGGCAAGGAATGATTTTTTTTTTTTTCTTTTTAGTGTTGGGGAATCAAACCCAGAGTTTGATCATAGATGCTAGGTAAACATTCTACCATTGAGATCTACCCCCAAGCCCAACCTTATAATTTAAAAATAAAGTTTAGGGGCTAGGGATTAATCATCTGCTTTGTGAAAGGAAAAAAGTAGAGGTTATCAGCCTGATTTTTTATTTATTTATTTATTTTTTTTCAAAGTGCTGGGGATTGAACCCAGGGCCTTATGCATGCTAAGCAAGTACTCTACTCTGGCCTACATCTCTAACCCTCTTTTTTTTTTTTTTTTTTTCTTGTGGTACTGGGGATTGAAGCCAGGGGTGCTCTACCACTGAGTTATACTCCCAGTCCCCCTCTTTTTTTTTTTTTTTGATATTGAATCTTGCTAAGTTGCCCAGGCTGGCCTTGAAATTGATTTTCCTGCCTCAGCTTTGCAAGTAGCAGTCTAGTATCTGGGCTTTAGCTGAATTTTTTTTTTTTTTTTTTTTTTTGGTGTGTGTGTGTGTGTATGTTTGTGTGTTGCTGGGGCTTGAACCCAGGACTTTGTGCATATGAGGCAAGCACTCTACCAACTGAGCTATATCCCCAGTCCCCCTAGCTGAACTCTTAACAGGATTATATATATTTATTTACTAATTATTTAAAGTTGAAATTCCAAATCTCTTTCCTTTTTTTAAATTATTCTTTTTTTCCCCTCCTTTGGGACAGGACTTGTTTACACTGGGCATGTAAACGCAACCATGGTCAGGTGGTCTCATACCTGTTACAGTCAGGTGCTGACAAAGAGATTCTTACCACAAAAGGGGAAATGCCAGTACAGTTAACATCAAGGAGAGAAATCAGGAAGATCATGGGAGGTGAGTCTGTGTTTGGGGGAAACATTTTGACTTTGTACAACTAATTTAAAACTTGTGATTATTATTTGTCACATTCTTTTTTTTTTTTTTTAGTTGTAGATGGTCATATAATATCTTTATTTATTTTTATGTAGTACTGAGGATCAAACCCAGTGCCTCACACTTTCTAGGCAAGCAAGTGCTCTACCACTGAGTTACAACCCCAGCTTCTATTTGTCACATTCTTAATGCCAAATAACTCAATAACTTGTTTATTTCTCAAAGCTAATTACTGAAGTAATTCTATGTTTCTGGGGAGGTCAGCATTTCAAGATTCTTTTTTTTTTTTTTTGTAAAATTTAGTCATTGTTAAAAATAGTAATCATAAGTAATCATAAACTTAATAGTCCTTTCTGAACTAAACAGGTAGTTATAATCATTGAACAAAATATTTGTCACTACCAAAGGATACTAATGCTTCTCAAAAGATTTTTTTTCCTCAGATTTTTTTTTTAATTTTTATTTTTTTGTAGTAGTAGGGCTCAAATGCAGGGGTACTTTATCACTGAGCCATATCTCCAGTGCTTTGCTTTTTTTTTTTGAATTTTTTTAACATTTATTTTTTAGTTCTCGGCGGACACAACATCTTTGTTGGTATGTGGTGCTGAGGATCGAACCCGGGCCGCACGCATGCCAGGCGAGCGCGCTACCACTTGAGCCACATCCCCAGCCCTGCTTTTTTTTTTAAAATGTAACATTTAATTAATTAGTTAATTATGTGGTGTTGAGGATCGAATCCAGGGCCTCACCCACGCTAGAAAAGTGCTCTACTACTAAGCCCCAGCCCCGGCCCTCCAGTGCTTTTTAAGTTTTATTTTGAGGCAGAGTCTCATTAAGTTGCTGAGACTGGCCTTAAACTTAATGATCCTCCTGCCTCAGCTTCCCTAGTTGTTGGGATTAGAGATGTGCTCCACTGCGTGTGGCTTCTTGATAATTTTTAAAGGACTGTGTAAATGTTCTGTTTTCTTCTTTTTAAGTGGAAGAAGATGATAATGATGACGACACCCTTCCTCAGCTGAAGAAGGAGTCAGAACTGCCCTTTGTTCCCAACTATTTGGCCAACCCAGCCTTCCCTTTTATCTATACTCCCAGAGCAGAGGATTCAGCCCAGCTGCAGAATGGGGGCTCCTCCACACCCCCAGCATCCCCCCCTACAGATGGCTCACCTCCATTGCTGCCCCCTGGGGAACCCACCCTGCTAGGAGCCTTTCCCCGGGACCACCCTTCTTTGGCACTGGTTCAGAACGGTGATATGACTGCCCCCCCCACCATACTCAGAACACCAGAAAGCACAAAACCGGGTCCTGTTTGTCAGCCACCAGTGAGTCAGACCCGCTCCCTTTTCTCTTCTGTCCCATCCAAGCCACCAGTGACTCTGGAGCCTCAAAATGGGACTTATACAGGACCGGCGCCAGCATTCCAGCCATTTTTTTTCACTGGAACATTTCCGTTTAATATGCAAGGTAAGCATTTACAACAAACAGCCTCTGTAACCGGGGAGTTGGGGAGAAGTGAGATTTATGTAATATATTTGGGATATAATTACAAACTTAGAGAAAAGTTTCAAGACCTGTATAAGGAATTCCCTTTACTCAGATTCACAAATTATTTACCTTCTGCCCTTTTACCCTGAAATTCTTAAGTATTGTTCTCATTGTATCTTTTCTAAGAATAAGGATATTCTTTTATGTAACTTTAGTACAATTATCAAATTTGAGAAATGTAACCTTGATATAACATTGCTCTGTAATTGGTAGTCCATATTTAAGTTTTGTCAGTTCTCTCAATAATGCCCTTAGTAGATATCTTCTCTCCCCTATTCTTGCTTCCTCCCCTCTGGTAGCCCAGGACTACCCATTACATTTAGTTATACAGCCCCTGTAGGTTTTTTTTGGTTGTTTGTTTCTTTTACTTTTGCTGTACTGTGGATGGAACCCAGGGGTGCACTGAACTACATCCTCGTCTCTTTTTTTTTGAGACAGAGTTTCACTAAGTTGCCCAGGCTGGCCTCAACTTTGGGATCCTCCTGCCTCAGCCTTCTGAGTCACTAGGATTTCAGGCATGTGCCTGCACCTGGCTTTTTGAAATTGATAACTTTGAAGGGTCCAGGTCAATTATTTTACAGAATATGATTTTCTATCATTATTTATTTGTTGGTATTCTACTATAAAGAAGGGCTTTCTCTTCTCCCTCATTTATATCAGTATGGACTCGTGGATTCTTATTGTGTTCAATCAGTTATAATCTATTACTGTCATTATTTTGATATTCAGATTTTTCCTGATTTGACCAATGGGACCTTCAAGCTACTTATCGTAACCATTAGATATGTCCCCATCATTCTTGGAAAACTTCCTTTCTTTCTAGTGTAGCAAGATGTTCCAGGTTCATAGTGTAACTTCCCTGCCCTAACCCCAGAATCAGCCCTTCTCCAAGGAGCCCTCGTTCTTTTTGGTAGAGAATAGAATTTAGAAGCTAGGAAAGAGAGAAAAAAGCAAGCAAACACATTTATTTATATATGCATGTAGATCTATGTTTCTGTATCTGTTTACATCTTCTTAAGAACATTAGAAATTCAAGTTCATCTTTATAGCTCTGATTCTAGCCACACTTACTAGGGTATAGTCTAGTCTTACCTTTCCTTTTTCCCTATAAGTAACTCTCCTACTTCCCAATTTTGAGGACCTGGTGCTGATAACAGTTGCCCCAGGGTGCTGCCAGGGATCCATATATAAGGAGAAAAGCAGAACTGCCAAATGTACATAAGTGCTTGGCTGGAGCCATTTTGGCAGCCAGGCACAGAATGTGGAGTCAGATTGCTTTGCTTGCTGACCCATGAATAACAGTCTTTACTCCTAAAGCCAGGAACTCACCCTTATCAAGTTGTGCCATTTTTTTTAGTCAAATGTATACTTTAACTTTGTTTAGTGAGTATTTTTTTGCTCTCCAGTTTTTATTGCAAGGAATTTCATATTTCATGAATACCTTTAGATCCATAATTGTTAGATCTGTTTTTTGTTATGTTTTGTTTTGTTTTTAATGGTACTAGAGATTGAACCCATGGGCACTCTTTTTTGTGGATGGGGGTACCAGGGATTGAACTCAGGGGCACTCAACCACTGAGCCACATCCCCAGCCCTATTTTGCATTTTATTTAGACAGGGTCTCACTGAGTTACTTAGCACCTCACTTTTGCTGAGGCTGGCTTTGAAATGGCCATCCTCTTGCCTCAGCCTCCTGTGCTGCTGGGATTACAGATGTGTGTCACTGTGCCCAGCCCAGGGGTACTCTTAACACTGAGTCATATCCCCAACCTTTTTATTTTTATTGAGACAGGGTTTTGGTTGTTGTGATTTTATTTTGGTTTTTTTGTAGTGCGGAATTGAGCCCAGGAGCACTCTTCCACTAAGCTTGTAAGCCCCACCCTTTTTTATTTTATTTTGAGACAGGGTCTCACTAAGTTGCTGAGGCTAGTTTTAACTCACGATTCTCCTGCCTCAGCCTCCCTAGTCACCGGGATTATAGGCATGTGCCATTGCACCTGGCATTGTAAATTTTTTGAAAGTATCTCATGTATCATGTCTTGCTTTTGCCTTCTTTCTAACCTTTTTTTTCTTTCCCTGCTCATATGTATTTTTTTTTATTTCTTTCTTTTAGTTGTACACAATACCTTTGTTTTTATTTATTTATTGTCATATGGTGCTGAAGATCAAACCCAGGGCTTCACACTAGCTAGGCGAGTGCTCTACTGCTGAGCCACAACCCCAGCCCCTCATGCGTATTTTTTTTAAAAAAATATTTTTAGTTGTAGATGGACACAATACCTTTATTTATTTATTTATTTTTATGGGGTGCTGAGGATCGAACCCAGTGCCTTACACATGCGAGGCAAGTGCTCCACCACTGAGCTACATCCCCAGCCCTTCTCTTGTGTATTTTGGTACTCAAATCCATCTGAAGTCTTTACTTCCTTAGCTCTAATGGTGGAAGAAAGTGATCCTTCTACATAGTTGGGTTGCTTGTTCCTGCCCCCTTTTACTTGGTGAAACAGTCTTAGATGTAGGGAAGATCATGCAGGAAACTGCCCCAATGAGCCAGGATTAGGTCAGAGCAAAACCTGATGGTCAACCATGATTTTCCCATTGGGTGGCACAGACTAAATGTAACCATTTTTAAGATTTTAAGTTAAGGGCTGGAGATGTGGCTCAAGTGGTAACGCGCTCCCCTGGCATGCGCGGGGCGCTGGGTTCAATCCTCAGCACCACATAAAATAAAAGATGTTGTGCCCACTGAATACTGAAAAATAAACATTAAAAAAAAAAAAGATTTTAAGTTAATGATCTGTGCCACGACCATCTATTCATTACCATTTTCCCCTCTTTTTCTAGAGCTTGTACTCAAGGTAAGGATTCAGAACCCATCTCTTAGAGAAAATGATTTCATTGAAATTGAACTGGACCGACAAGAGCTTACATACCAAGAACTGCTCAGAGTGAGTTGCTGTGAGCTGGGTGTTAATCCAGATCAAGTGGAGAAGATCAGAAAGTTACCAAATACGCTGCTAAGAAAGGTAAGAAAAGTCTGCCAAGCACAAATGGTAGCTTTTTGCACTTGGAAAATAACCAACTTCCTCTTTGATTATGTGAGTCATAGTTAAAGAAATGAAAAGAGAATGCAAAAGGAGTGGAGAGTAGTTTTCCAAATGTAATCAATAAGCTTTCTTTCCCTATGCTGTGTCTTTAGAGACACTGGCATTTTCAAAAGTTTTAAGATACTAGAGAGAATGTTTGGAGTTGCCGGTCACACGTACCTATTTCCAGTTGTTTCTGCAGTGACCTGTAAGGATCACCTTAGTGCATCATTAGATATGCTTTGTGTTTTACAAGAAAGACCCATGTTAAATTATAGGGCAAACCCACTTTTTTTGTTTTGTTTTGTTTTTGTAGTTGGACACAATGCCTTTATTTTTTATTTATTTTTATGTGGTACTGAGGATCGAACCCAGGGCCTCACACATGCTATGTGAGCACTCTTAACACTGAGCCACAGCCACAGCCCCGCACTGGGTTCTTGAACATCAGGCTTCTGAGTTTTCTCAGAAGGAAAATTGGCCTATGCATTGCCTGACCCTGCAGGGTATGTGCCCACCCTGTAGTAATGGCTACTAAGGGCTTCTTCCATTATTCCAATCCAACTTATGCCCTGGGGATTTAATATATAGACTTATCTGCCATGGATTTTATTTTCCTTCCAGATTTTGAAGTGAACCAAGATACTGGTGTCAGTTCAGCCCACCAAACATATGGTGGTTCCTCTTAATCTGTTAACCTGTTTTGTTTTAGGACAAAGATGTTGCTCGACTCCAAGATTTCCAGGAGCTGGAACTGGTTCTGATGATAAGTGAAAACAATTTTCTGTTCAGAAATGCTGCGTCCACACTGACTGAAAGGCCTTGCTACAACAGGAGAGCTTCAAAACTGACGTACTAATGCAGCAGGGACTTTTATCGCTGAGTATTGTGACAATGTATGTCACCTCTGGGCCAAGGACAAGCCATTGATCCAAAAGCCTCGGATGCCCACGAGGTCCCCTGGTGCCACTGCGTAGTGTACACTAACATCGTTGTTCTGCCAAGGCAGGAAGCCCCTGTCCCCCAGCAGCGGTGCCACTCTTCCAAGCCTCTTGGTGCACAATAAACCTATTGCTTGAAGCTCTGAACAGCTGAGAAGTGGTCTGGAGAGGCAGAAGCCGGAGGTTCTATATCCAGTGTGTTTTATGTGCAGAATGTAAGAGAGTTGTCTAAGCAGAAGCTGAGAGCGCGCAGAACCTATTTCCGGCCACTCCTGTTGACAGTGCACCTGAAGGGCCGGGCGTGCTTTTCTTGTTGTTGCATGCTCATGACTCTCCTGAAATTGCAAACTGACTAGAGAGGAAGACTGGGGAAAGCACAGGTACTGGACAAAGGGATTTTGGTGTGACTTGTGCTGTGAGGTTTCTTAGAACATATTTATAAATGTTACTCAGGTGAAAAGTATTTAAGTATACAGTTACCTAATTGTAAATAGGCTGTTAACCAAAAGCTTCCCCTCCCCCACTTTTCCTTTGCGAACACTCACAACTGCTTCTGTCTCCACTATCATCTCTGCTTTACCTCCCCTTCACGGTCACTAGAGGGCTCTCTGAGGCTTTCTAAAAAAGCCACTGCATTTTTACTGAGGCGATTCCTGTCATCAATGTATTTAATTGCACTGTTTGAGAAGAGCACAAGCATTGCCAGTCCGTGTTCTACATTCTCATTTTCCACTAGAAATGAAAAGCAGTTTTTGAGCCTGAATCTGTTGCTGTTTTACAGGTTATTGTGGGAAATTGAACTAAAGGAGTTAGCATCTTTATTTTTGTAACAAAGATAAAGGTTATTTTGAAATTATTAGGATTTTTACACAACTCTGAAATCTGTTGCTTTTTTAAACAAATCGTTTGATCTTAGGGATTCCCCCTACTGCCACCACCAATCCACTCAACAAAATCAGTTGTGAGTCTACCAGACTTAAAAACAAAAACAAAACTTACCTGATTAAACTCTTGAGCATGGCATAAGAATTTTGTTCAAGAATGCATTTGAGGATTCTTTTCATTTTCTTCAGCATCATTAAGGTGAAAGAAAAGCTACTGTCTCGTTAAAACAAACAGCTTAGCTTTAGAAATCAGAGCTGCCCAGGTAGACAGGAGAGCAGGGGTTGAAGCCAGCTGTTGGAGAGCATCCCCGCTGTCTTAAGAAGCTTTCTCCCCATAGTGCCTATAGTTTCCAAAGAAACTTAACTTCCTGACTGTGTTAACTTAATTTTGTTAGAACACTATAATTGAATAAGAAGGTGCAGAAGATGTCAATGGAAGAGAATGTTTTACTAAGATAATGGCCTCCTGCTGCTGCTTAAGTACTGAAATGAGGCCGAGATATTCTTCAAGGCCAACTTCTTGGAGTCACTCTGTTTAATGACTTCCTCGTATCCCCTCCCCCCTTACTGCTGGTGACTTATCCTTGTGGAGTGTGCATAGCAGAGTGAAGGTTACTTTATTACCTACTTTCTCTTAAGTGCTTTAAAGAAACCTCCCTTGTGTTTCAACCAATCAGAAACTACATTATCTAGATGTACTAACCTCTTCCTTCACTTTGAAAAGTTACAACTTACTGATACAATTAACTATGGTTCTATCCTTCAAGAAATGGTTCAGTATTAATTCATGTCTAAATTACTGGGGTTAAAACTCTTTTAGCCACCTAGATTAATTAGAGATTCTCAGAAGCAGTGGAGGCCCTTGGCTAGGAGGTGGCCTACAGAGTTGTTCTCCAGGCTCAGAAGCAGAGGGAGCAAGGGCTGTGCCCTACCCTGACCTCTCTCTCCATAGAATCCTCTGTGGTCAGTGACTCTGGCAGTGGGATTAGACTGCACAGTTGCTGGTAGGTGAGTTTAAAGTCTTAATCTATGCATTCAGAGAAATATTTTTATATGCTTTGTGTAATTTATAACAAAAGAGTTTTTTTTTAGCTTTGTTAACTGTGAATTCTCTCCTCCCCCACTGCGTATTTAAAGCATGTGTTCACACTGTGTGTAAACATTCACAGAGGATTCTTTTCTTTGTGCATTGCTACTCTTCAAACATAACAGGTATTATTAAAATTAAATATTAATTGACCAAACCCATTTTCTTTCATTTTGGCCTCCTAAGTAGCACTGTATTTCTAATCACAGGAGTTCAAATTTCTGGACAGTCCCTGTGTCCTGGCACTCTGGAGGAAAAATAGAAGGGCTCACTCCCCACCTGAGCCTCCCATCCTGCGGCTATAGCGTCATGCCGTCAGTGGCACCTGCAGGCAGATATTTTGTGTGGCGTCTTTCCTCCCAGTTCACAGCAGCTGGCTTCACTTCCCTGGAGGAGCTGAGCCAGCTAGATAGAGGTCATCCTCTATTAACCACATTTTTTGATTATCCTATTTACTTGACACAACTGAGCCTCTCCTTTGGGCTGTCAACACCTGTCAGGGCCTCAGTGAGCTCAGATGCAAACTCCCAGGACAGGAGAGGAAATAAAGCCTTACACCTTTAGATCTTTAGCTGAGAATGATGCTGAATGAATCTGCTTTTCTGTTGGTTTAGGCCAGCCAGCGCCTCACAAAGCAGACGTCATGCCAAATTGGCCTAATAAATCAGAGAACATAGCAGAGACCTTTTCTTAGCACCAAGGAGAGGCAGAATAATTTGGGCATTTGTGCTTCCATACTTGCTTTATCACAAGGATGGAGGTTGCCTTCCATAAACTCAAAAACATCCTGGGCAGAAACAGCCTGCTAAAAAAAATGTGATTAACCTTTAACAAATGGTTCTGCAGCACAGGCCGACCTAGAGCACACAGGAAAACCAGATCAAAGGAGCCATCTCCCTATCTACGGCAACCACTTAGGGAGGGGAGAGGAAAACAACCATCACCCGTAGTCAGTCACATTACAAAGAATGAAGGTATAGGAAATGAGAGGGAGACCAAAGGGAACAGAAAGCTGAGGAAAACAACCAAGAGATGATCCATCCTAAATATCAGTCCTGGTAGCAGGTGGGCTCTGACCTGCAGAAAATGAACTTGCTCAAAAAGTCAATTTTCTGGGCATGGTGGTGCATGACTATAATCCCAACTACTCCAGAGGCAGAGGCACAAAGATGGAAGGCTTGAGGCCAGCCTAGGAAATCCAACAAGACCTTGTCTCAAAATGAAAAATCAAAAGGACCATGGATGTAGCTCAGCGTTGGGCTAGTGCCTGGCACTTGCTTGCCCAGTGAGGTTTTGGGTTCAATCCCTACTTCTACTAAATAAAGAAATACAGTGAATTTAATTCACCTCCAGCAATCTCTTTTGCCAGCTCAGGACAGTGGACAATCAGCTCAGAGGGCTGAGGTGCTCTCAGTAGCTTTCCCAAGAGGCCTCCCATCAGGTTTCAGGGCCTTTATTTCTCACCTTTTCAGGGTAACTTCTGGCAATTATCCAGTGCCTGTTGGCTGTGAAGAGAGGATTTCCAGCCAAAAGCTTTGGACCTGAAGTTTTCAGATAACTGCAGCCACGTAGATGTGTATGAAGTCCTTCTCCCCATTCCTCTCAAAGGCTCTAGCCTCTAACCTCGAGGACAGGCAGAGAAAGGTGACACCAGGGCATTGCTGTTGCATGTTGCTAGGCACATAGCTTTATTTCATCAGTACTCCATTTTCAATGGATTCAGGCAGCACTGGGAGTACAGGACTCAGTTCCTAGGACAGCCTGACCTGGCAGTCCTCTGTTCCATGAGGAAAAAGCCTTACTAAAAAAATCCGTGAGATCACGAAAAATGAGAGGCAGGAGGGAGGCCATCCTAAGAAATGATTGTTTAAAAACAGTGCAGTGTGGAAATAATGCTAGATTGGGACTCAGGAGATCCAGGACCTAGTCTGGGCTGTTTCAAACCAGCCATGACCTCGGGCCTGCCCTTCTGCTCTCAGGCCTCCCTCATGTTAAGCCTGGTTATTCCACGGGGCACTCAACAGAGGCACAATATCACAAGTGCCCCCACCATTTGCTATCAAGTTCGTCCTGCAGACACATGGTGTGTCGTTTCCCTTCCAGAAAAGACCAGGTGGAAATGCCAGGAATATATTTCAGGCAAGTCCCGCATCTTTGGCCATCCCATAGAAGATGCCTTTAGCTGCAATGAGGTTGGTTGGAGAATCAAATTCAGCTACTACCCCTTTGTCCAGGACCAGGATCCTAGTCAAAAAAGGAAAAAGAACTAGTCAGATCATCAGCCTAGAGCTGGCCAGACTCCAACCCTGCCCTTCTGGGTACTACTCAGGCCCTGCAGTGACATGGCAGCCCACCCACTTCAGTCAGCCCACCCAACACAGCCACTGCGCCACATGTGCACGCCATCGGGTCTGGTTATTTTAGCTCTCCTGGCAAATGAAGCAGTTTGTGGGATCAAACACAAGATCTTATTCATCTCTGCTAGTCTGCGTTCTGAAAACCTTCCCTAATGAGCCCTTCCCCTGGTCGGGTCACAGAACTTCAGCAGGCTGTGAGCAGGGAGCCATGGGCCTGCGCGCTGGGCCCCGTGCATATCCATCTGCTTTGTACCAGTTTACAAAGGCACACGGCGGGAAACCTGCTGCAGTGAGGCCTGACACTGGAATCTGGGACTTGGCTGCAAACCTGGCCCCACCCTCCACTCCCACCCCCACTGTCAGGCCCAAATCTGGGGTGACAGTCTCCTACCAACCACACAGGCGCTCCACCTGGTGCAAGGCCAAGGGCTTGCCAGCACCAGCGTGCAGTATGAGGGGAAAGGGCCCTCCCAAGCCCACAGAGATGATCCTCGGTGGGAGGGGGCTGGCTACTTTCTATTTCCCAACTGCTGGACTCCCAGAATTGCGAACTGAGAAGGAGTGCCTCTGTGTGCATCACTGGCTGGCCTCCCTCCGAACTGGAGATCAGCAGATTGACCATTCCAAACGAAAGCCTCCAGCAGCTTCTCCTGGCTCCTTGGGCAAGGACCACATGCATTCCTGTGGTCCTGGGCAGCTCACAGGGACCTGTTCCTCTTTTCCCCTCTGCCCTTCAGCCTCACACGCCTCCTGCCTGGAGCGCAGGCCTGTGTGTGTCCCAGTGTGTGTGGCATGTGCTGCATCCTTTGAAATTTTCAGCTCCCTCCCTTCCTCATCTCCCCAGCCTCACTCTACTCATCCTCTGGGGCTGGGCTGGTGCTGCCCTTCCCCTTGAGAGAAAGTGCCCCGGCTGCCCTGGGTGGCTAGGCTTCCTCTGGTCTACACATACCGACCCCTGCTTCCTTCTCGGGGCTCTAATCACAGGTTCTGAAGCAGGCTCTGTGGTTCATTTCTGCCTCTGCTCTGCTAGAATGAATGAACTTGAAACCCTACGGTGGAGACCAGCCTCCCACCCCGGGGCTGCTGGGGAATGAACCATTTTTGGTTAGGCCTGGCCACAGATGGCTCCACCAGCCCTGCTGTTGGCTCCCCTCGACCCTGGGCCAAGTGAGTCCTGCCCACCTTCCCTTCTCCCCCAGCGCGTGGACACAGGCTGGGGATGGAACAGGCAGAATGTAGCATCAGGTATTCTTAGTTGGGCTCCCAAGACCCCGCTGGCTGTGTGGACACCCAAGAGAAGGTCTGGGTCTGACCCGCAGCCCTGTCCCTGGTGCCCTCCCCTCCTTCCTGAGTGACTGAGGCTGTGGATGCAGCCCCCCTCCCCCCACCATACTCAGTCCAGACTTGTTTGGCTTCCAGCCTCCTCTTACCTCTCAGAGCTCCCCCCTCTGTAGGGAGCCCAGCCTCCAGGCCTCACTTCCATGAGGTTTCTTAGTCACCAGCCCCCTCCCCTGTCCTCCAGTACCTTACCTTGACATTGAGCACAATGAGAGACAAGGTCATATTTTTTGCCTTCTGCCAAGTGGCCTGCTTTCCCAAGGAAGCCAAAAAATTCTGAGGGCCATGCCCTGTCCCTCTTCCTTTGAGGGACTAATGCTAAGCAGAATTATAATAAGTGAATTGTAAGGGGCTTGGGAGCAAACTGACATTTCCCAGAGTCGCCTGCAGTCTAAACACGTTTCATTGACTCCTTACAATAATCCTGAGAGACACTATCATTTCCATTTGAAAGAGATTCAGAGAGGCTTTGCAAATTACTCAAGGTCACACAGCAGTCAGTAGCAATCCTGGGCCTGGGACCAGTGCTCTCCTCACCACAAGGCATCAGCTCCTCTGGAAGCTGTGAGGGCCAGGCACCAAGCAGGGACCCCAGGCATCACAAGCCTCCTAAGCTACCTTCTCATCTGTAGCTCAGTGTAATAACCTCATTGTAGGCTGGTAATGAGGTGCAAGCCCTCTGTCAAGGGGCTTGAAAGCCACGCATGCAGTCAGCTTGGGATTCCATTCCTTTACCTCACCCCATTAACAGGCAAGGGGATAGAGGTGGCCTCTGCAAATCCCCCATGCCTGAGGAGCCCCAGGGCCTTCCCCACAGGTTGGTCACTTCAAAGCATCCCCTGTGCCTTAGAATATGTCACTGCGCCCCGCTTTCCCGAGCCTAGGTAACCCTACTCTGTTCTTCCCCTTGTCCATGTCTTGGGTAGCCCTGCTCTGTCCCCCACGTCCAAGCTAATCCCAGGAGCTCTCCCATGCCCAGATCCCCTAGCCTGCCCCCTCCTGATGCCCTAGGCAATGCCCCTCCCCTAGCTCCCCGCTGCTCAGGTTTCCTTGTGTCACCTGGTATAGTCCATGATTGTGTTGAGCCGGTGTGCAATGGTCAGCACAGTGTAGGTGTCAAACTGGGTGCGGATGGTGGCCTGGATAAGGTCATCAGTCTCCAGGTCAACAGCAGCCGTGGCCTCGTCCAACACCAGGATGCGGCTCTTGCGGAGTAAGGCTCGGGCCAGGCACACGAGCTGCCTCTGGCCAATGCTGGGGAGAGGGAAGGTGGGTGTTGCCAGCTGCGTGTCCCACCCCCCTTCTCCGCTGCACTGGGACTTGCTCCCAGACCTGTTTCCGTCTCCACTCCTTCTCCACAACCCAGGATGGGCTTCTTATCTAGTCTCTGTCATTTCTGCCACAGCCTAAAAGCAGAGTAGAGGTATGGACACGGCCAGGATCATGAGTGGCCTTGAGAGTA